CTGGACCACCAGGGCTCATCTGAAGTAGCTGAAAAATACAGTGGGTTTTTTTTGTTATTTATTTGAATATTGATATTGAGACAGCTGTCTACTGGGTAATGCCTTTTTAATTAGATTTCCCCCACCCAGGGCTCATGTTTATCTAAACCCATCCTTACCCAAGGAGGATGCGGTGGCTCAGCGGCTAAGGTGCAGAGCTTGTCGATCGGAAAGGTTGGCATTTCGGCGGTTTGAATCCCTAGTGCCACATAATGGAGTGAGCTCCCGTGGCTTGTCCCAGTTTCTGCCAACCTAGCAGTTCGAAAGCATGGAAAAAAATGCAAGTAGAAAAATAGGAACCACCTTTAGTGGGACGGTAACAGCATTCCATGCGCCTTTGGCGTTGAGTCATGCCGGCCACGTGATCACGGAGACGTCTTTGGACAGCGCTGGCTCTTTGGCTTTGAAATGGAGATGAGCACCGCCCCCTAGAGTCGGGAACAACTAGCACCTATGTGCGAGGGGAACATTTACCTTTACTTTTATCCTTACTCTTCTTGCTAATAGAAAGGTGGGCAGGCTGAAAAACCATAGGCTTCGCACAGAAAGCCTTTATTTAGGTTTCCTCTGTAGAGATTAAAAAAAAAAAGTCAGGGGATTTGCAAAACTGCTGAGTGCTGTTTTCAAGGCCTCAGCCTGCCCTGACTGTTTAAAGCAAGAAAGGCAGAAGAGATCTATTGGTCATCTCCTTGAATGCAGAGAATTGGAAGTGTAATTGATCTAATAGTCTCTTTTCTGGCATTGCCTTTTTTTTTAAAAAAAAATCCAGTATTTCTGCCCCCCTCCCTCTTTTTTTAATGCTGCTTTCAAGCTTGACAGCTTTTTTTAACTCTTGATTTTTAGTATTTGCAGCAAGCAGCAGCTTTTTGGGGAGGGTGGGGCTATGCATGGGCTAGCTGTGTGTGGTGCTCTGTGACAATTGTGTAGCCGCTTTGGCGTTGGTAAGCCTTCCTTGCTCTCCAGTGGATGCATGAGTTGCTCCAGGGTGTGTGCGATTTTGTCCTCTTCTTGGCTTGCTGCCCTGGTGTGTTCGAATGGCGCTCTACTCTCAATCCTGCTCTTTTTCTGAATTTGCAGATGGCAGTTTTTGAACCCACTTGGAACATAACTACTGGGCTCTTGAGAACAGAAGATGTCTGGGAATGAAATGTGAAAATATCTGGATGCAGTTTGGGAGGGTTGGGAAGAATTTAGATATGTTGGTTAGAACAGAATCATCATTTCATACATACCCCTATTCTGGCAACCATCCAGGATATACCAGAACGTTCAGGCATAGCACTGAGAATAATTTTTTTCTAGGGCTGGCTGTCTAAAATTACATTCTTCCCCCTCTTGTAAAAACGGGATTTTTCAAAAACCCTGCACCATCGCCTATTGCAGCGATGGCGAACCTTTTTTGGCTCGCGTGCCATAAGGGGGGGAGCGCAGGGGTGTGTGTGCGCAGGCGTGCCCATCATGCAATGTACGACACACACACCCAGTGCGCATGCGCGCATGAGAGCCACTCCTCCCCATTTTTTGCATGCATTTTTCGTCCTCCCCAGGCTCCAGAGGCTTTATAGGAGCCTAGGGAGGGCGAAAAAAGCCTCCCCCCCCCCCCGGAGGCCCTCCAGAGGCTTCAGGGACCTTCAGGAGGCTTCCCTGAAGCCTCCGAAGGGCAAAAAACGACCTTACAAGCAAACTGGAAGTCACTTCCAGTTTGGGCTGGTTTAAGCCCACTTCCAGTAGGGCTGGTTTAAGCCCTCTGGAGGCTTGACTTAAACCGACCCTACGAGCAAACCGGAAGTCCATTCCCGAACTTCCAGTTTCCCATAGGGCCGGTTTTTATGCGCTCCAGAGGCTTCAGGGAAGCCTCCTGAAGGTCCCTGAAGCCTCTGGAAGGCTTCAACTGACCCTACGAGAAACCGGAAGTCCATTCCCAAACCTCCTGTTTTCCCATAGAGCCGGATTTTATGCGCTCCGGAGGCTTCAGGGAAGCTCCTATAAAGCCTCTGGAGCCTGGGGAGGGCGAAAAATACCTTTAAAAAAGGTTGAACTCAGCTGGCCAGCACGCACAGGGGATGTCTGGGGATGCTCATCTGGGCATGTGCAGAACGCAGAAAGTCCGTGGTGACGTCTGGGTGGATGGGTGGAGCCTCGTGCCCCTGCCACTACTGGTTCGCTTGAACCGGCAGAATACCACTTCTGATCGGAACCAGACCCAGATAAAAGAACAGGACACCTAAAAGACTGAACCCTTGAGAAAGCCAGCTGTTGACTCCAGGGAAGGAGCTCTCTTGAATTTTGTCAGAGGCTAGCTGAGCCAGGGGGAAGGAATCAAGTAGGGAATTAGCCTGGAATCGTTACATAGGCATAAGAGAAGAAGGTCCAACCTTCCTTGAATGCCATTGAACTTTACCTAGTCTTGCTCAGGTGCAAACCACCAGTCTGAGAAGATTCCTGTGAAATAGGCATCAGCAATAAAGTAACTGATTGAATTCTTCAGGCCTGGATCTGGTTGTTTGCCTCTGACAAAGGTGAATCGAAGGGACCATGTTTCAAAACTTCAAAACTGCCATCCCAGAACTATTATATCTCTGTCCGTTTGCTTTTTGTGCGCTTTCCTCTGATACTGGTGTCTCCTCCCTCTCTTCTTTCCCCTTTCTTCTGCTCCTTTTTCCTTTGCCTCGCCTCTCCCTTCTGCTTGTCTGTCTCTCTCTCTCCCCCTTTCTCTCTCTCTCTCAGATCTGAAAGATTTTCAGAACAATAAGCACAGATACTTGTTAGCCTCCGAGAATCAACGTCCTGGCCATTTTTCCACAGCATCCATGGGCTCGCTCACCGCATCTCCATCTTCCTGCTCTCTCAGTAGTCAGGTGGGCTTAACGGCCGTCTCCAGTATCCAAGAACGGATCATGTCCACGCCCGGAGGAGAGGAAGCCATTGAACGTCTGAAGGTAGGGCGGCTGGAATTGTCAAATGGCCAGAGAAACCCATCTTGGCTTAGCCCAGAACCTCACCTGGCCAACATCTGTTAGAATGTGTGGCATGAATATATCTCTTTAGAACAGAGTTTCCTAACCTTGGCAATTGTAAGAAGCATGGACTTCAACTCAGCATGCTGGCTGGAGAATTCTGGGAGTTGAAGTCCATATATGTGTACACATACACACACAGACTGCCCTGCCCTCTGTGGGGGCCTTGCTGCATCCAGCTGACCTTCACCATCTTCCTCCTGTTCCCGATGAGTTGTGCCCAGCCTAGCCTAAGGCAGCTGTTGGTTAGGCTCACGCCATTTTCCAAATAGGATGGGATGGAATAGGAATGGGACACTTTATTCGGCCTAATGTGATTAAACACACAAGGAATTTGTCTTCAGTGCAGAAGCTGTCAATAAGAGTTGCCAAGATTGGGAGTCCTTCTTTAGGACACGGACCATTTGATATTTTCAGAAGTTATTGAGGGAAGGGCAGTTAATAATAATGTTGAGAGCCAGTTTGTTGTCATGGTTAAGGCACCAGGCTAGAAACCAGGTGACTGTGATTTCTAGTTCTCCCTTAAACATGAAGCCAGCTGGATGTCTTTGGGCCAGTCCCTTTCTCTCAGCCCTAGGAAGGAAGGAAGCAAGGGCCAACCACTTTTCAAAATCATGCCAAGAAAAGTTGTCCAGACTTAATAATAATAATAATTCCGAAAAACTAGAACAAAAGCCAACATCGGCTGAACAACCGGCAGCTGTGATTTCACATTGTAATTGATATACAACAATAGCAATAGCTCTTAGATTTATATACCACTTCACAGTGCTTCACAGCCCTCTCTCAGCAGTTTACAGAGTCAGCCTCTTGCCCCCAACAATCTGGGTCCTCATTTGACCCACCTCGGAAGGATGGAAGGCTGAGTCAACCTCGAGACTGGTTGTCAGGGTTCTAAATAGCATCCAAAATTAAATCAGAGTCCGAGGCAAAGGATTCCTCAAAGTTCCAATTTATTAAGAGAGCCATGTTGGTACATATGGGAAAAGCTGAATCTGAAATCTTCCCGGTTTTCTTCATCCGGTTGAAAGTCCAAGCTCTTTCCCCTCACACCCACAAATCCATCACGTGGTCCAATCTCCCACTGCCATGCTGGCAGTTTCCACCCATCTAGATCCGGTCAGGTGCAAAGACAAAGGATGACCTTGGCTTTCTAGAAAGAATTTTGTTATGGCTACATAGCATCTCACTCCGTACAATCCCCCCTCCCATTTTCCCACAATAGAAAAAACATAAGCAGAATAATAGAAAGTGTGGCAAGCTCCAAAGGAAAANCACAACCACCTGGGCTTAATTATCGTCTCTGAGTCTGCCTCCGCAGCTGCTGCTTCCGTTTCTCTGCCCTTCTTTGTCTGGCGTCAGGAACAAACTGCCTTGAATCCTCCCCACTGCTCCATGCCTCAGGCGCCTCCTGGTGGCCAACCAGCCTCTCTGGTCCCTGCTCTGAGTCTGAACCCTGCCCAGAGTCCTCCACATCTTCCCTGGCAGACTCATATTGTTCCTCGCTATCCGAGTCCATCAGCAGCTCAACCGGATCCTGCTGGGCCACAACAGACATGTATTTTTTTTTTAAATCCCTGCTTTTAGTGGCCTTCTCACATCCCGACGATGGGCTAGATCAGTAATGGCGAACCTTTTTGGCACTGAGTGCCCATGCTGGAAGGCATGTGCATGCAGGTGCATGCGCTGGAGCACCAAAAACCTGAAGACCAGCTGACCTGCGCGCGCATGCCTGTTTTTTTGCCATTTTTCAGACCATTTTTGAGCCATTTTCAGGCTGTTTTGGGGTGTTTTTCATGCAAGTTGTTTGGGGCATGAAAATGCCCCCCAAATTGCCTGAAAACACCTTAAAGGCAACCTAAAATGCCCCCAAAACATCCTGAAAAGGCCCCCAAAGCCCCACAAATGGCCTGAAAAAAGCCCAGAAAAAGGTTCAAAAACGGTCTAGTTTGGGGGCGTTTTTCAGGCTGTTTTCTGGGGCTCCAGTGCTCGCAGGGACCAGCTGGCTGGCGCACATGTGCATGCCGGAAACCAGAAGATCAGCTGGTGATGGTGCGCATGCCCACAGAGAGGGCTCTGCGTTTCATCTCTGGCACACATGCCACAGGTTTGCCATCACGGGGCTAGATAATTATGATTATAATTATGGTGGGTTTGTGCTGAGTCTTTTCACGATTTGGCATTCAGGGTTGATCTTCCTTGATCTGATTGCATTTCTGCTCTCTAGGTGGCAACTCCAGAACGGCTATGGTGGCTGCTTTGAGCCCAGCAGACATCAACTATGATGAAACATTAAGCACATTAAGGTATTGAACGGGATTAGAAAACGAGGGGCTTTCTCTTCCATATTTTCTGCCTTGTTTTAGGCAATGCGACTCGAGTTTGTAACCACTTCCATAGATGCTGGCTGGGGAATTCTGGGAGTTGAAGTCCACACATCTTCAGGCTGATATACATAAAACCCTTTGGGAGCAGTGGTGAAATCTACTGTATTTTTCGGAGTATAAGATGCACCTTTTCCCCCTCAAAAAAGAGGCTGAAAATCTGGCTGCGTCTTATACACTGAATAAGCCATTTTTTGCCTCCTGAAACCCCACCCCCTTCACCAAAATGGCCGTGCATAGCCTTTAGAAGCTTTCAGAGTGCTCCTGCGGTCTGGGGAGGACAGAAATGAGCAAACAACGGGCTCAATTATGCCCCCCAGCCCCTAGGAGCGCACTGCAAGGCTCCTAAAGGCTATGCATACCCTTTTTTTAAAAAGAAAAAAATGGGCCGTTTTTTTCTCATTTTTGGGGGGGTCCACCCCCCAGGAGCACTCTGCAAGCCGCCTAAAGGCTATACATGCTTTTTTTTAAAAACAAAAGGCCCGTTTTCATGAAAAATGGGCCATTTTTGGGAGGTCTGCAGAGTGCAAAAACTTTTTTTTTTTTAAATTTGCCTCTTCAAAACCTTGGTGCGTCTTATGCTCCGGTGTGTCTTACACTCCGAAAAATGCGGTAACTTTTCCCCCCACCGTTTCTGTGGGTGTGGCTTGGTGGTGGGGGTTCATGTGACTGGGTGGGCGTGGTCAACTTTTTAAAGCATTTTTTTTCCTACCGGTTCAGGCAAATAGGCAGGAAAAAATGCTTTAAAAAAAAAGGCAGGGGGGGGAGAAGCTTCCAAGGATTGCACAGCTCAACTGTGAGCGGAGTGATTGTCGAAAGCTTTCCCCTCTGCTTTTTAAAGCATTTTTTCCCCTGCCTAGTCATCTGAACTGGCAGGAAAAAAATGCTTTAAAAAGTGTGTGTGTGTGGGGGGGGGAAGCTTCCGCTGCTCACAGATGAGCTGCGTGATCCCCGGAAGGTTTTTTTTTTTTTACTACTGGTTTGTAGAACCAAGGACAATTGTCCCTACCAATTACCTCCCAAAGACCCATTAGATCACACAGATTAGGCCTCCTCCGGGTTCCGTCTACTAGCCAATGTCATCTGGCCACTACCCGGGGGAGGGCCTTCTCTGTGGTGGCTCCGGCCCTTTGGAACGAGCTCCCCGCAGAGATTCGGACCCTCACCTCTCTCCAGGCCTTCCGAAAAGCCGTTAAAACCTGGCTGTGTCNCTCTTCTCTGCCCTCTTTCTAGAGTCCCCACATCTTTTCTACATTGTGGTGACCAAAACTGAATGCAGCATTCCAAGTGTGGCCTTCCCAAGGCTTTATAAAAATGGTATCTTGATTTGCAACTGTTTGGGGTAGGCTTGGTGTTTTCATCAGTATTCACAGCGGCATTTCGGCTGTGACGAGCTTCGAAATGCCATTAAACCAAACCAAGCTGCGAATGTGTGCAGAACCCCATATTGTTTCCTGTTCTGCTGGAGTTGACCATCCTGGGGGGGAAAATAGGCTCGCGGGCATTTGACTCTTCTTCTTCTGCTGCTGCTGCTTAAGCATTCCCACCCCGTCGTCATGGTTTATCTCCTGCCTAGCCGATCTGTCTGCGAGCATAGCCCCTTTAAAAAAAACAAAAAAAAAACTGCTGTGAGTGGCAGAGAAACAGCTCTGTTGACTATCCTGCTCAAAAGAGAAATTTCCATTCCTGAGCAAAGAAGCGAGTCTTTTGTTATATGGCTGGCTGAAGATGCGATCGCGGGTGGGGGGAGGGTTTCAGCACTTGGAAATATCACAATGCTAATGTGTTTCTAGAAACCTCTCCACCCCCCCTCCAAAATATGGATTTTTGTGGCTCTTGGGGACATTTACCTACCATAGGCAAGGCAGATAATTCACAATTTGGTTAAACCAAGATGTCAGGGTTCCAAGTGACACCCCCAATGAAGGAAGACTCCGAGGCTCGAGTTTCCTCAAAGTTCCATTTCATTAGAGATGTCCTATTAGCACATCTGGGAAAACCCGAATCTGAAAGCTTCCAGGTTTTCTCCACCCAAATGAAAGTCCAAGCCCCTGCCCAGCACCCACAAGTCCGTCACATGGCCCAGTCAGGCACTGTCCAAAACTGGAGATGCCTCCCAATCACCTCATCACAGCTGCAGGGCAAGATGTCCTTGACTCTCTGAGAAAGGAATATTATTTTGACTATATATCTCCCATACTCCATATAATCCCCCCTCCCATTTCCCCACAGTAGAAAAGGTGGCAGGCCTGAAGGCCCAGTATAAAAGATAGCTTCCAGGGCTGACAGGCCGCCCCCCCTCCAGCAGAAACGCGTGTCCTGACATGAGGAAGAGAAAGCAAAATAGCTGATTGGACCGAAAGACCGAAAAAAGAAAGACCTCGTACATGGAGGCTAGAGATAGTCAGAACTTCCTTCAGCAGTAAATCTGAAAATCCTGAAGTGGGATTGTTGTCCTGCCCAGATCTCCACACCAACTTCCTGTAACTAAAAGATGTTAGGCAACTTTCCCTCCTGACCTTGGATTTTGCGCGAGCATTTGTGATGAATATGTGCAGGCTCAAGGAGTAACAACAATCTGCCTCCAGTAGAGTGGGACAGTGGTAGTATTCAGCTGGTTTGGGCAAACTGGGAGTGGAGACCTGTGGGTGGGCCGCTCCGGCGTTATGCTGTCCTATTTAGCCACGTTTTCTAAGCATGTGTACAAGCTGCACAAGCCTCCATTTTGCTTTCCGAATTCATGGGGAGCTAACCCTTACCCTAAGTGGGTTTTCCCCCCAATGGGATTTTCCCATGTATTTTGCCAGGGAACATAGATAGGGTGGGCTGGAAAAGTCAGCTAACCATAACAATGCACTCCAAATCCGTTGGTGAAGTCCATTTTGCTGCCTGAATTCATGGGGAGCTAACCCTTACCCTGAGTGGGTTTTCCCCCCATTGGATTTTCCCATGTATTTTGCCAGGGAACGTAGATAGAGCGGTGCGCATGAGCAAAGCGCATGTGCAGAAGGCTGCCCGTGCGCTCACATTTTCAGTGCGCGGCGAACCGGTGGTAAAATTATATGAAACTCACCTCTGGGGTGGACTTTTTGATTAAATCCTATGGCATATTCCATCCTTCTTGACCTGCCTCCCCCTCCCAAAAAAGTGTATCATTCCAGATTTTAGATGGTAAGATTAATTGGAGTGATAACAAATTATCAAGACTTTTCAACAAAGATGTCCAAAACGTTGGGCCAAACCTTGCATAATGTTAGCACTGGGTAGGATTCAGATGCAATTTTTTTAGAATTGGTAGCCTGGTCAAAAGAACGTTTAAAAATCGTTGGCTTTGTGAGAGCGTGACATGGAATTTTTAGGGCTTTAGATGAAAGAAAATGAAATAAAAATACGGGTTGGAAGATCCGTTGCAAAATCAAAAGCTTTACAGAAACACTTAGCATTTCCCAGTTCTGGGGAATCACTCTGTTCTCGGACCACTCTGATTATTTGCTTTAATCTTGGCAGTTGGCTAGATTTAAATTTGTTGTGCTGAGAAGCCAAGAATGAAACCGATATTTGGTCTTATGTTACCCTATTCTTCCATTTTCTTTTTTCCCCCCAGGAATCGGAGAAAATCATTGCAGAGTTGAATGAAACCTGGGAGGAGAAATTGAGGAAGACCGAAGCAATCAGGATGGAGAGGTTAGTGCTCCCATATCATCTTTTTTTTTCCTCCCAAATTTTATTGATTTTTTTTATTAATTGCATTTCTTAGTGCTTCATGAACATCGTGTTGTCTGGGTGTTTAATTAGCTGAACAATTCTGATTATGTTCTTAATCTCCACTGCTTTTTTCCAGCCACTGGTAAAATAGCTTCCATGTTTGATAGTATTCTGTGTCTTCTTTCTGCTTAATTTTCAATGTCAATCTATCCATTTCTGCCCAGTCTAATATCTTCTTAATTATTTCTTCATCTCGCGGAGTTTCTCCATTTTTCCAATATTGTGTGAATATTATCCTCAGATTCAGATTCAGATTGTTTATTTGTATGCCGCCCTTTTCCCTGGGGGGACTCAGGGCGGCTCACAATCAAAGGGAGGGGGGAAAGACAAACTTTTACATATAAGACAGTACATGGTTAAAACGCAACATTCATACCATTCGGGCGGGTTACAATCTTTAGCCCTCGCTGCTGTTACAACATATAATATTAAATATATGTTTTTCTTATCTAATTTTTCTGATATTATGCCTAATAAAAACAAATGCAGGTTTAAAATCGACATGAAATCATATCTACATGACATCATATCATCTCGATCATTACCTTAGAGCCATGTTTTTCAACCTTAGCAGCTTGAATTCTGGGAGTTGAAGTCCACACATCTTCAAGTTGCCACAGTTGAGAAACACTGTCTTAGAGGAGCAAGATTCTTATAACTTCAAGGTGGAGTAAGAGGTTTTTAACCCTTACTTCCAAAGGCAAAAAAAGGGAGAGGGAGTCGTAAGTAGGAAAATGTAGAATATAAGGGCATGCCACAGGTTCGCTATCCCCGTCCTAGAGGATATCAGAAGAAGATAATCAACCGCAATAGCACTTCAGACTTATATACCACTTCATAGTGCTTTACAGCCCTCTCTGAGCTATTTACAGAATCAGCATTTTGCACCCAACAATCTGGCTCCTCATTTTACCGACCTTGGATGGATGGAAGGCTGAGCCAATCTTGAGCCAGTCAGGATCGAACTCCTGGCTGTGGGCAGAGTCAGCCTGCAATACCACATTCTAACTACTGCGCCCCTGCGGTTCTAATCAAAAACGTATTTTGTAAGAGCTGGGAAATTTTAAAAAAACGGAGTTAGTTCTAATTTATATCTTACTGCACCATCGCTTCTTACTGTTTCTTCTTCCTGTACTGTGCAATTTCCCTCCCTCAAAGAAAACCTAAATTCCTCTCTCCCACTTCTACCGGAATTTAGAAATCGAATTTTACGTGTGTTTTTCGAGGAATTCTTAACCACTTATTGTCTCCTTCTCCACAGAGAAGCTCTTTTAGCTGAGATGGGAGTCGCCATCCGAGAAGACGGAGGCACCCTTGGCGTCTTCTCACCGAAAAAGGTAAGATAGTGTTATAAAATGGTTTCAGGTCCTTTCTTTCAGACGATCTGAGATCCTAACCCCTGGTGGGAGGAGAGTGTGTGTGTGTGTGTGCGTGCGTGCGTGCATGCGTGTGTGTGTGTGTGTCCAACAATCTGCTGGGGCTTTTCTGCAGAAATCGCAGCCCTGTGATAGACCCAATACTTGTCTGCTTCTCCCTTTTTTGAAATGCAGTTTCAGGGTGGTTTCAGTTAAAACGACAGTATCGATTTTACAAGCGTGCATGCTTTTCCATAGGTTGGATATCAGAAATGTTACTTATTTATTAAATTTATTTGCCGCCTATCTCGTTATGGGGCTATTCTAGGCGGATTGTAATAATGAACAGGAAGAAAAATGAAAGGATTATATAAACAGAACAGAAGTTAAATTATCTATATGTAATAATGTCTCTGTGTGTGTGTGTTTGTGTGTGTGTTCCAGCATAACTCTGGAATGCCTTGAGCAATTGTAACCAAACTTGGTACACAGATGACTTACTCACTGGGCAAAAAAAATACTGGGAGGGGGGGAGAGACACCCCTAACACCTCTCGGGGTGTGTGTTCTGTTACAATACAGCCTGTTGTGCCTTAAAATGGCTTCTACTGTACTGCCTTAAAATGGCTTCTGCTGTACAGCGCAGTGGAGTTGCCATGATAACAGCTTCACAGTACTCCACAAGGGGGCTCCCTCTGGTAAGGGGGAAAATCCAACATTAGAAATTACACTTCTGGGGGCAAAGGGAAAGCATTTTTAACTAATTTAATTGTCGCCGAAATCAGGCCTCAGGGAGAAGTTGCTCTTGCCATCGCCTCTTCAGGAATTGGGGCGATGTTCAAGGGAGGAGGGAGGACAGCCCATTCCTCACCTTGCCGCTTGACATCGCCATTCCTGTCTAGTACAGGATTGGGATAAATAAATACCTGGGCAACGCCGGCTTATCGGCTAGTAGAACAATAAAATAAGCAACAAGAAAGGAAAACAATAAAAATAGTACGCTAACCAAAAATAAATGCATAGGTGGAGATCAAAGAGCGTGCGTCGTATTTTTTGGTTTTTGATAGCTTGATGTCAAGCTCTGAATTAAAATTATGCTGAACAGAGGTCTTCAGAAAATGCTCCACGAACCACTTCAAAGTCTGATATTTTTTTTCCAACACCACGGTCATACTTTTTGTAACTTTGTGCCCCACATTTGGGCCAGGCTCCAGCAGCTATTGAGGTCTTAGGATGAGTTTCTGGAACTTTGCCAAAGCTTTCTGGCTGGGGAATTCTGGGAGTTGAAGTCCCCGCAGCTTACGGTTGCGGTTGAGAAAGATTGCACTGTCGTATGATTGTCTTATCGTCACCCTAAGTAAGCCCTCTCTTCCCTCTTTCCCTCATCGTTCTGAATTTCCTTCGTAGATCTTCTCTCAGAGGCCATCAACTTTGTTTGATGATTCTTTTGATACCTTTGCGGTTGACCAGGTTTGTCGTTGTGCCGGCATCGAGGCTTAAGCAGAGATTGCAGCTTGTGAAAAATAGAAAAGTAGAATCCGTCCTTCTCCTCCTTACCCTTTCCCTTTTCATCCATCCTGATTAGCTGTTGCTTCCCTGTCTTGCACGGGTACAACAAGATCCAGAGACACTCTGAACAAATGGGGCTAGCGTCCCTCCCTTTGCGATTGTGGTGACCAGCAGACAACAACACATATGCATATACCTGCCTGTTGTGTCCCGATCAGTGTACACTTGAGGGGCTCACGGCAGCGTGAAACAATGCAATTAAAGTTCCTAGTTTCTGGGCAAGATCTGTTTCATCTTGTCTTTTATATTTTAAATGCTACGTCACGTAGTATGCCTTATTTTAATTGTGATGCTTCCAACACGAAGAAACAAACGAACGAACAAACATTGTTAGTCTGTTCCTTTCACCTGTACTTTTGTAGCACTTGTAGCTAAGGAGAAGCTGCTCTTAGTTTACAAGCTAGAGCTGCCTGATGGGTGTGAAGGATCCTATTTCTGCTGCTGTTCTAATATTTCCTTTTTCCTCTGTGTTTACTGGCACTCGTTGGCCAGATATTCACGCCAAGGCCTTGTGATTTGTTGGCTGGTTCCAGTGGGGTGTTCTCACCAAAGAAGGTTGGTTGACTGACTGTACAGGTAGTCCTCGACTTACGACCCCAATTGAGTCGAAGGTTTCTGTTTGTTAAGGGAGATATTCATTAAGTGAATTTTTGCCCCAGTTGACGACCTTCCTCGCCTCAGTTGTTAAGCAGAATCACTGCAGTTGATAAGTTAGCAACACCGTTATTAAGTGAATCTGGCTTCCCCGTTGACTTTGCTGGTCAGAAGGTCGCAAAAGGGGTTCACGCAACCCTGGGACGCAGCAACGGTCATAAGTATGAACCATTTGCCAAGCATTTGAAGTTTGATTCCCAAGGTTGTAACTGTGAAAAACGGCCCTTTTTTCCCACTGCCGTTGTAACTTTGAACAGTCACTAAGCGAAGTGTTGTAAGTCGAGGACTACCTGCAGTAGCTTTAGATCCCATTAGGAGTGTTTGTAGCAAATAGATTCTTGAGACTTTCCAGCAAAGCCGCGATTTGGAAGCAAGGGGGATCCCATTAACCCGTGAAAGGCTGTGGAGAAGTTACTCAGTAGAAATTGCACAATATATTTCTCCCAGCAAAATCGGCTGCGAGCTTTTTTCTCCAATTTAGCTATTCCCATACAAGATGAACGACGCACTCCTAAACTTTTTGGTTCAGTGGTGAAAGTGTCCAGCAATTTATTTCTTTTTCACTGCTTCATCCTGTCGAGTCCCTGCTCCCCTATTGAAGAATTAGGTATTTCTCACAGAAAGAGGAGAGAGAAGGCAAATGAATTGGCTGCTATTGAACCCAGGATAATTTTGCTTTGACCTAGGCTTCCTGAGAAAGGATAAATTGCAATCTTGGTTCTAGAAACCCTCTTTTATAATTATGGTCTTTCACAGCCCTTAATGATTCACAAACAGTCCGTGAAGATCCCGACAGATGTCTGCTCAGGTTGCCACAGTCTTTCAGGGTATTGTTGATAAGCTCCCAACTTTATCTCCCTTGAAACGCTGCCAGAGACCTAATTGCCAATTAGTTTCACAAGGCCAAACCTAGTACAGAGTTAAACAGAACTTCTGAGAGCTTGAAACCGACTAGATGAACTCATTGCTTCTTGCAAAGGCTCACATCTCTTTGCTCCTCTTTCTATGTCTTATGGGAGGGGCCAATCATCTCCAAGTCTTACTCCCGAGTCGCCCTTTTTTTTTCTTAATTGTTCTTGCCTTCTGGCAGCTCTGTGCATACGCACACTGGGAACAGGCTCACACTATTCTTCTGCCTCGCTGATGTCAGACTCTGGAGGCTCCAGAGGCAGTGCATAACTACCAGATGGCCCTGGCCATCTCTCTGCCTCCGACGCAGAGCCCTCGTCCGAGCCTTCCCCAGACTCCAAGCCTGGCCCATGTTCCTCCCCAACCTCCACTGGCTGCTGTCGGACCACAACAAGTCTGAAGAACCTGTTATCCCTGGCTTTCACTTACCAAACATCTTCCTTTAAAATAAATACACGTTAAAATATCGTTTAGCTTACAGTGCCCACAGCGTGAGAAGTTTTTGATGGTTCTGTTCTTCCTGGGATGCTGTGCTCTTTTCTGAGGGGTCCTCGGTACGCTCTGAACTTGGTTGTTTTCTTGCAGATGTTTCATTACTCAAACCCGATAACATCATCAGTGCCTAGCCCTAATGATGTTATCTACACTATATTGCCAAACATATTCGCTCACCTGCCTTTCCTCGCATATGAACTTACTGTAAGTGACCTCCCTTTCCTAATCCATGGGGTTCAATATGACGTCGGTCCACCCTTGGCAGCTATCACAGCTTCAACTCTTCGGGGAAGGCTGTCCACAAGGTTCAGGAGTGTGTTGATGGGGATTTTTTGACCATTCTTCCAGAAGCGCATTTGTGAGGTCACACACTGATGTTGAACAAGTTTACGTGGCCTACCGCTTTGTGGCCGAGTTGCTGTCGTTCCCAAACACTTTCTTTCTCTTTCTCTTTTTCTTTCTCTCTCTTTTTCTCTCT